AGGACCTTAATGATGGGTTGGCATTTCACTATAAAATTAATTTTAGTCTAAGATTAGATAGATAAACCAGTGCTTTCGTACTTGTATCTTTTAAATGCTAAAGATATGTTTGGAACCGTTGCTAATGTGAATGGGCTGATCAGGAACGTTCATCCTTTCTGAGTATTTAGTTTCATCCCTCAATTGAAGTGTTGATTTATTCATTAAAATTTTTTATTGATTATTATGTAAATATTAAGATGGTGTAGAGGAGCCATTTTTGTGTCAGCTCTTCGACCTTTTTTTGTAAATTAAGTATGTAGTTAATTATGGAAAACGTAGATTTCCTGCAGATTGTTCTATGTGATTGATTATGGATTTAGCTAGGTCAAAGGTGCAGGATAGAGATATTCAGATTTCAGAGGAAGAAGCTTGAATCTTTTGCATTCAATTTATACCAACAAGTTAGAAAAAACACAGAATTCTTGAATTAAATACTTTGCATTTCATTATGGAAAAGCCAACGATTCACAAAAGAGCATATTTAGAGGAGGTTTGCCACCAGTGCATTCTTCGGTACATTTTATGGTAATCCACTTAACTGTTTGTTGAGTCTCATAACATGGATAAATTGTTTATCCAGAAGACAACTCCGAGGAAGAGTATGTGTTGCTTTTTGGCTTTATATATCCAAGCATGTAATATATCATTATTTTTCTTTCATGTCCTGAGTTATTATTTTGAGATGTTTGTTCTTGTAATATTATTGTATCTCTAGTTCTTATTGAAGTTCTGGAGATTAAATATTAATGGATGGAACCTGCCTGTTCATTTTGACAAGCCCAGCATATTTTATATATTCAGAGTGGGCTTTTGGTGTGTATGGTGATCTGAGGCATGTCTTCAAAGTCTGAACCTGACCGTTGATATCAGTATTTGAAAATGGTTGGTTGATTCAAGTGGTGTAGGCAAATGTTCATGTCAGCAAAGGACCATTGATGTGTCTTGATGACATGGTTGCGGTGGATGGCAGATGACCCGGAGTCATGGAGGGGATCCCTAGCCCATTGACTTAATTAACTGTGGTTCACTATTGTATTGATTCGACATGCATTGATGTTGTTTGTAGCGGGAACTTTTTTAACTAGCCTGATCGATATGAAAGTATGTAATGGGAACCTTTTTAAACTTAAATTAACAAGTATGTAATGTGAATATGCTACTTGCAAATTTTCATATATGTGTTTGGTGTGAATTTGCGTGTTTCTATGTTTAGAGTTTGGAATCGTATTTATTTATCACTTAACATGCTCACACTTTAGTTTCATCACACTTATAGGAAACCCCATACAATGGCAAATTGGAATGATGACTCATGGTCAAATGAAGAGGAGGAAGATGACGAGGCTAAAGTGTTGTCCACTATAGATGATGAATTAACAGAATATGAAGCGACAAGTGTATTGGTGAGTCAATACTGTGTGTCTTGCATGTGCAAAAAGCGCCGCAGAACTGATGAGCAAACAGGTAATTTATGGGTGCAAGAAATTTTGGCAGGTCATGATGATCCATGCCATGAAATGTTGAGAGTAGAAAAAAGTATCTTTGTTTCCCTTTCACATATGTAGTAATTGATCAAAGCTTCAAGTTGATGGAAATGAATGGTTCATTCATTCCTTTTTTCCCTTGGCTGTTTCTTTTTCCTTCTACTCAACTTTCAGATAGGAACAAAAAGAAAAAATCTCCTGTCGCAAGACAAATTGCAGATGCGGCAAGTACCATAGCGACCGCATGTAAACGAAGAACAGAGGCAATAATCAAAATGAATGAGGCTTCAGTTTCTAATGTTACAGCGCACTTACTCACCCTTGAGGAAATTACATCTGATCCTGACTTCCGACATCAATGTTTGAACATGATTGGCCGATTCAAGTGGTGTAGGGAAGTGTTCATGGCACTAAAGGACAATCGAGAGCTCTTGATGACATGGTTGCGGCGGACAGCAGATGACCCAGACACATGGAGGGTACTTAAGTAACTGTGGTTCAGTATTGTATTGATTAACGTGCACTGACGTTGTTGTCCGTAACGAGAACTTTTTTAACTAGACTGATCAGTATGGAAGTATGTGTTTTACTCAACTATTATCTGTAAGCTATGAGCCTATGGCATCTAGGAACAAAATTGCCTGATTCGGACTCTTCATTATATGATGCATAAGCTAGTGTTTCTTATATCCTTCAGCTTCTCAGGGTGGTCTTTGTTCGAGCTTAGGACGAGCGAATATCATTTATTCGCTTGATATCAATGTCTCCATAGATTTCTAATAACTTCACAAATCGATTGCTCAACATGCATCAACTGGCTTTGATAAAATATCACATTAAACCCGTCCGGTCTTGGAGCTAAATGTCGCGCTTTTCAAGTTTGGATTTTTGCATTTGCAATTTCCCTGCCTATGTGCCTTCCCTGATGGTATCTCCAATTCTTAATATAAGTTTTAATTTGGTCTTACATATAAGGTTTTAATTTACACCATTTATATATATATTGTTTTTTTTTTTTAAAGCAGTCTATTTGATGATTTTACATATTATAAAGTTATTTTAAGAATAATAACACTTATTTATTATAAATAATTAATTTAAATAATTTTTTAACATATAAATTAGTTATTTAATTTGTATATCAAGAATGTTATATTAGGGATTAAATATAGTAGATGGATAAGTAATTCTACATGTAAGTGAACCACGGGCACTCCTAACCTTTTGAGCCCAAATTAAAAGACCCTCGGAGCAAGACATCTTCGGGCTTATCACAAAGTTGGTGTTGACTCTCGTCAAACCTTAGTTGATAAACCATATGAGAGTCTCTACCTTGGCAATTCCATTTAAACTTTGGATAAGCTTCCTCTTTACCATGGCCGTAATGCCAAAAACATGCTTGCTCCATGTCACACAAGCATCAGTGAATTTTTTTTTTTTTTTTTTTTTTTCTAATTCCAAAGAATATCTTTCACTTCAACATGTTAAATACACATTCAGAAACACTTCTATTTAGGGAATTCGTTAATTAAAAACCCACAAATTGAAATTTGCATTTTGATTCTTGAGATACCAAATTTCATATCGTTCAAAGTGAGCCAGCGTTGTACAAATTGGTAAGTCAGGAATTCATATTCAGGCTACAATTCTCTTTTGACTATACGCTTCTCAAGGGTTAAAATTTGGTCAACACCTTTTGACCAATAAGTAATGGTCTGCTATCATTCACAACCCCTTCTACAAAGAAAAGTCTTGATTCTCTTTGAAAAAGAACGCATCCAGCTGAACTTACCCAAATTGGTATTAACTGCAAGATCATGAGACTACTTGTGTTACCTTTTATTGTTTTAGCCTATATAACCATTGGCTGATACGATGTCTTGGAGAAATGAAATGGTAACTCATATGGCTTATAACTTTACTATGAATATAGAATCCTCCCTTATCTCACTATGACTAACAAAACATGCTGGTATAAACAACACACTACTAGATATCATTTTGTAGGGGGAAAAAACTAGTTGGGAGTTGAATTTAACCCTAAACATATAAGAGATTTTAATCTATTAGTTTGTTAAAAATGTTTTTCTTTTCACTGCCAAGTGACAATACATACATATATGGATATCGCCAACTACACAAAACACCAAATTTAGAAGAAACAAGGGGAGAAAGAGAACTACTTATAATATATTTGATATTAGTACTAAAACATGAAACGGATACTGATTTCCTTTCAAGGCATTAAACTCCTTCACATTTTGCCCATCTTCCAGCTCAAGTATCTTTCCACAATGTCCAATCCACAAAATTCCTTTACCACGGCCATGGTTGCTGGCACATCCAACTGGAATGGTTTATCAAGTTCATCTGAGTTGCTCCATGAATGAAGCTGTTTTCTAGCCTCCTTGATAGCTGCTCTAATAGCACAATGAACTGAAGATGCTAGAAGTAATGGCGGCTCACCAGAAGCTGCGCAAACAAGATTTGAAGCGTCATTCGTATAGGAATTCCCAGGTCAACCCCTACATTTTAGCCCTCGCACATGTCCACATGTTTACAAAGCAGGCCAACACTGTTTACTTGAACAACCCAAAACCAAGAAACTTGAAGAGAAGCTCGACCCATACCTTGCTTCGTTTATTATATTCTTGAATAGAGTTTGATTACAGAGCAATTTCTTTTGGTAACCATATTACAAAGCAGTTTAAGAACTGTTCAATGTTCAAAATAAAATATAGAATAGTAATAAGGGATGACTAAGAGACTTTTTAAGTATTTTCATGGTACAACTTAAACAATTATATTCAGTTCTTTTGGTATAACCTTTGGATAGAGAAACATCGATTTATCTTAACAATTATTTTAAAAAAAGAAGAAGAAGAAGAAGAAGAAGAAGAAGAAGAAGAAGAAGGCACAAGCATGGCCAAGCATAGCCATATACACCATCGAATTTTTGGTCACTAGACATTTCATATCTCTATGGAGTTATTCTGACAACAATTGATTCAACAAATTGATGACAGAGAAATGGAACTCAGATCCTTTAAGTTGAGAATATACGACTATGAAGCTGATGAAGCAGAACATAAAGAATTGATATTATCAGCATCATACTGGAAATTTAAGTTTAACTTCATAAACTTCAGAGAATCCGTTCTCTACCTTTTTAGCATGTATGTGACCAGGAATCAAATTCTAAAGCAGAAGCTCAAGAATCAAATCCAACCATAATGTGTTATCATTCATAGAAGAGTCATTTAACAAATTCTAAATAAATAAAAAAACCAAAAGGTATTAATTTATCAGCAGATTCATTTTACCCCATTTCCACCACCATGACGTAAATTACTCTACAAAAATCAAACTATTTGACGAGCCTGTTCTATGAAGAAGCAGCTATTTGCAAACAATATTTCAACTAAAAAGCCATATCCTTCAAGGAAAGAACACGATGCTTGTGATGTCCACTATTGACAATCTCAACATTGAGCTGTTTAGGTACAGTATCTAATGTAGGGATTTTGTACTTCCATGTTCCATCTGCTAACACTAATCCCTCATGATTTGTTTCATATTCTTCAAGCATGAAAACCCTAATCCTTGGACAAATGCTCCTTCAATCTGCAACAAACAAGAGATATTATGTTAAATTGGGCAAGTTCAAAATGCTGCATGAGAAAAACTCAATCTGGCATATATTAAAGTTTATTTCTTTTTATATTAGTCCTTTAACTTCTAAATGACATGGGCCCCATGCATTTACACAAAGCCCAAAATGAACCACATCATTTCTGATTAGTGCACATTGTTTAACTTGCTATATTTGTATATCTTTAATAAGTATAATTAAGTTAATGATAAGCATACTTAGAGGACAAAAAATGTTAATTTAGTCCAGGAATAGGTTGGACAACTGAACACCATAGTTGAGCTCAACTTGTAGAACTGAACTAATATTGGGAAGGAAACAAGACTCTAGGACAAACATACTGCATGGGCTAATCCAACTTCTCTTGGACTCTTTTGTTTGAAAAGCACTTCCCTAAGTTGCCATTTTCGAAAGAAAAATAGGAAGATAAACAAAATGCCAATTCAAACATACAATTGAAGGTTTTTTTTTTATATTAAGTAATCAGTCATAATGTATGAACAAAAATATCATAACTTAAGTAAACAAAATCCATTCATCTTTGACACCCACTTAATTCGATTGAGTAGCTGTGTGCCAGGATAAACCACAGAGGCCTATAATCATCTTCTTATTCGTATAGTTCATAGAATGACCAACTTATTTTTAAAAATAATTGTCTCTTTAGAATTTCAGTTTTTATTTCAAAATATTTTTAATGATAAAATTTAATAGTTAATAGCTTTTAAAATTTTACGCGTTATTCACTCCTCATTCCATATGAGAGAGCATATGCATAAAATTTAATAGTTATGGATTTTATATCTTCCATTGTAGTGTTTTTCAGGGGCCATGAATAGATTAGGCTTGATACATTTCAAAAATTCAGGAAATTTACTCTTCTTGTAGTGATGATCATATTTTGGCAACCTACTGATCTTTACATCATCACTTTCTCCTTTTTTCCAAAAAGTGATACATTTCAAAAATTCAGGAAATTTACTCTTCTTGTAGTGATGATCATATTTTGGCAACCTACTGATCTTACATCATCACTTTCTCCTTTTTTCCAAAAGAGTTTAATCCTAAGTCCTCCAAATCAACATCAGAACCAAAACTTTTGCAAGCATCAGAAAGTGATCGATAGCCAGTGCATCGACAAAGATTCCCGCAAATGGCCCTTTCAGCCTCAGCAGCCGTGGCTTTTGAGAACACAGAGGGGGGATGAGGACGATTGGTTTTTTCAGTAATGGCAAGAGCTCCATAAAGAGAAACACACATTGCAGGAGTACAAAATCCGCATTGAGTAGCATGGAATCCTGCAATTCTTTCATGAATTGGATGGAAGCCATCTTTACTGTTCCCAAAGCCTTCGCTAGTAGTTATGGAACATCCATGTATGCTGCAAAGTAGCGTGAGACAGGAACTTGCTGTTAAATCCTCAACTTGATCGAGCACGTGATTGTATTTGGATATTAAAACAAGACAAGCACCACAACCACCTGTAAACGATCCAGATTGAACCAGGAAATGAGAAATTGATGAAATTTTGGGGGAAAAATTAACACCTTTTACCTTCATAGTCATAATCAGACTACCGATAAACTAGAACAAGAAAATATGTATGTACTTTTTATATATTGTTTTGGACAACCTCTGTGAAAATACGAGGAAGAAAATCAATCATGATGTTAGCAAATAATTCTAAACAGATAAGCGTATAGCGTTCTATTCCCCGCTCCTCATGGCCCAAATCATGATGATGGTTCTGAAGTTTGTTTTACCTCTGTTTCGTAGAATGCCAAATAAAAAGATTCAAATATTACATACACGCAAAAAAAAAAGAGCACTAATTTCAATCATAACATAGATTAAAGGCATAACCAAGAAAAGTAACACCTCTGAGCTTCATGTTCACATTGAAACGATCAATAAAAATAGAAGAAGAACCATATATTCAAGCTATCGATAAAAATAGAATAATATATACACCATGTTTTGTAAATTGTTTTAAAAACCTCTATGATGGTATGAAGGAGAAAATTAGTCATTAAGTCAACGAATA